TTCTTCAAGTTAACTTGCTTTGGATGGCACTTTTTAATCACACAGGTTTGGCCCGAAAAAGAAAAAAAGCTCCCTTTTGTTTGTCCGGATTCAGTTCTCCTGAATTTCCTCCAGTCTAAAGTACTCTAAAGTCCTCAGACGATGTTAATAGACCCCACAAATGGGAGTTAAGAGGGAAAAATGGGCATCTTTATAAAGGGAGGGGGTAGCTAACGTCTATTAGCTGAGCCAGCTAGCATGTGCCAGCAACAGTTAGCATGAGTTAGCAACAGTTAACATTTTCCTCTTCCTCTTCTTCTCCTCGTCCCTTTCTTCCTCTCTTCCACAGCTCTTGTCCCTTTGTCTCTTTTCTTTCTTTCTTTGTTTCTTTCTTTCTTTGTTTCTTTCTTTGTTTCTTTCTTTCTTTCTTACTTTTTTCCCTCCTGGCTCTGAATGGACTCACTCAGACTCATCTCTCTCTCTCTCTCTCTTTGTTCACCTCTGAAATCGTCGGCCTTCTTCATCGTCAGATTTCCTTCCTTTTCCCGCCTTAATTTTCCCGCCTTACTTTTCCCGCTTAATTTTCCCGCCTTTCTTTTCCCGCCTTAATTTTCCTGCCTTTTTTTCCCACCTTTCTTTTCCCACCTTTCTTTACACGCCTTTTTTCTCACCTTTGTTTTCCCGCCTTTCTTTTCCCGCATTTCTTCTCCCACCTTCCTTTACCCTCCTTTTTTTCCCACCTTTCTTTTCCCGCCTTTCTTTACCCGTCTTTTTTTCCTGACCTTTCTTTTCCCGCCTTTCTTTCCCCGCCTTTCTTCTCCAACCTTTCTTTTCCCACCTTTTTTTCAATTCCTCCTGTACATGTAGCTAATCGGGTCTGGGTTCCTCTCATCATCCTTTCATTAACATTAGTGGAAAATTAAGATTTTGAGTGGATTTTGGACTTCTGGATTTTGATTTCTTCCTGGTCCTGGTTCTGGTTCTGTTCAGTATGGCCCTGCCGGCTCTAATGGTCACTGCACATGCTCAGTGAGGCCCTGGGAGGCAGCAGTCTCCCTTAAATATTTTCCCTTAAACATTCAGAAGGCGGCTGTTTAAACTTTAACACTCTGAGACGTCAGCCGTCGCTTTGAGGCTCCTGCAGTCACATCTGAATTTTAAGATTTAAGGTTGAAAGAGAGGCTGCGTGCTGGAAAATGTCACGTTTCCACGGAGACGGGGTGTTTGTTCCTGCCTGTCGCCCCCCCTCCCCAGCCGTCAGCGGGGATTAATTACACCTTTATGGATCATTTCCAAACCTCATTTCTGCTCAGGGCCGGATCCAGGAGGGGCCAATGGGGGGGCCTGGCCCCCCAAAAAATAAATGTATCCACAAAACAACCCGTCACAGCAAATCGCGTGAAGAGACACGATTTTAAAAGTTACTACAGCAGAACCTCTGCTTCTGATGCCTAAATGTACGGATTTTACAACATACAAACTGAAATTTGATCAATTCAACTTGACACCCGTCGAAGTCATAAGAAAAATATATAGAATATAAAAATGAGATAAAAATACATAAGCTAAGTTTAAGCTCTAAACATTTTTGAAGATCTAAATGACTAAATCTGAACTTTTTTACTTTTAATAAATATAAAACCATTCAAACCGGTTGTGTAATTTACAGAAACAATGCCTCATTTTATATTAATTTGTATAAGTCAGAGTGAGTTAGGGCTGGTCCTGTATCTCAGTCTCCACCTCTACCTCCGTTCTTCAGTCTCTGAGCTAAAGGGACAATAAAAACCCTTTTTACTGATTATTTCTTTATCATTTATTTCTTTTTCCACCTCTCTTCTAGAAGTCATTTGTTTTCTTGCTATGTGTAATTATCTGCAGTATTTATTAAGGAGTTATCGTAGGTTTTTGGAACCAATTCTAGGAATTACAGAGTATTCTGATGGAAGATTTGAACCAACATACCAATATTTAACACAGAAGTCACTCCTAGAACCGGTTAAATACCTATTTAGAGGTCTAAATAGGCTGTAGGACCCAGAATGAGTCTGTAGGATCTCTTAGAGCTCCTGGATCTCTTGGAGTTTCTGGATTTCCTGCTCACCCTGTGACAGATCCTCTCAGGTGGTGGCCGATAATGAGAGCAGCGGCCGAAACAAATCACATAACGTGTCCTATGAAAACTCTGAACTTTTAATTGAACTTCCTGCTGAATTAACCACAATCTCAGAGGTGGAAAGAAAAATATTAAAGCTGCAGCCGGCTAATTAGCAGAGCCGTGATTCCCGTCCGTTTTCTCTGATACAGACCTCCTGCTTAAAGGTCATCCCCCCCCCCCCCCCCTCGTCCAGCAAGGGTCTTATTTTAATCCCGCTCGCTCTAAAAAGGCCATTAGCAGCTGCTCTCTGTGGGCAGACAGGAAGCTGGATGTGTCGGCCGAGCGGAGCATGAATTAAACATCGGCCGGCCTCATCAGACTCAGAACAGCTTCTCCATCTACCCTCAGACCACCGGGGGCTGGATCCAGACCACAGAGGACCAGGAAAGATCTGGATCCAGACCACAGAGGACCAGTAGGGGGTCTGGATCCAGACCACAGAGGACCAGGAGGGGGTCTGGATCCAGACCAATCCCCTGGTTTGGCCTCCAGTTCCAGGTTTGATCAATATTTTCTGCACATTTTTAGTGCTGGTCCAGCAGCTGGTGGATATTCGAC